ACCAAACAGTGTGCAAATTGACACTGATAGTGATGGTTTGGGAGACGCGTGTGATCTGTCTCTTATACACATCTAGATGTGTATAAGAGACAGATATATAGCCATACATACGTATTCTGTATTATATAATGTACGTATATGCGTATATATAATTTGCTTATGCAGTATAGCACCTTAACAGTATCTTACTATATACATTGGTACAGCAATACAGGTATATTTAACAAGGAATGGTCCCAGACACACTGGCGTCGATAAGTTATCTTTCTCGCTCTTCATTATTCACCCGGCGATCGATTGCTGAAAATATATTTAGTTGACGAAGGATGAGGCCTTTGTGCGACTCGACGCCGTGTGTACATAAGATCTAAGACGTGGTTTACAATGTTGAAATAAGGGCTAAGACGAGGTGTCAGTTTTAGCCACTTCACACAACCCTTGTCAAATTGCAAATCCGTCACTCAATAGTTGGATACTCCTTCGACCTTCTAGGTTGATGTCCGGAAGAATGGCAATGACCAGTATCGCACCGGACTTGTTCGTCCTTATAGGACTATTTTAAATATCTTCGTTGCAATCTACCATTAACACGCTTAGCAAAAATTGCTCAAGTAGTTAAAATTCACATAACTTTACTGGCTATGTCCCCCTCGTTTAATCATCGAGTCCCTTTCCCCTTCAGTTAATATTCGCGCCCCTACACCACACCATGTCAATTCTCCTAGAGACGCCACTGCATAATTTATCACCCATCAACCAACCCCTTCTCATTAATGTGCGAATCATGTTTTATGTGCAAATAGCTACAGGCCTACACAGGCCTAGTTTATGAACCTTGGAAATCGTTAAGAAAAGTTGGGCGTGTTTTAGTCAAAGAAGCACATGAAATGTATGGACGAGAAGACCGCTGTTTTACACTAAACCTAAGTTCTGTTTAAGGAGCCAATAATGATTTAAACAACTACTACTATTATTATTACTACTAATAATAATATTAAAAATAATAATGGTAGGCCTAATGATAATGATGATGTGATGATTATAATGATGATGATGAAGTGGATGATGATATGGAGGAGAATGATGGTGATGATGTAATGTAATAGGCCTAATAGTAATTTATCAAATAATATATCATCCAAAAATGATTTAAAAAACTACTATTATTATTACTTATAATAATAATATTAAAAACAATAATGGTAATGATAATGATGATGTGATGATGATAATGATGATGATGATGATGATGATGATGATGAAGTGGATGATGATAAGGAGGAGAATGATGGTGATAATGATGAAAAGTAATAAGCCTAATAGTAATTTATTAAATAAAATATTATCCAAAAAAATATTAATATTTAGGCCTACTACTCGTTCACACTTGCGTTTTGGGGATAAAATCTTGTTTCGTAGATTAAACGGTGTGAACGCGTGAACTATCTGAACGCAATATAATTCTGGTACATCTACATTGTAGTTTGTTACGTTTAAAACTCATGTCAAGTGGCATTCACTACGGTACGGTAGTATGTTATGCTTAATAATATAGTTAAAAATAATTTATCATATCAAATCCTAGTGTAGCTATGATCAGGCTTATGATATATCGAATTATGAGCAATAAGCATAATCCATCCGTTGGGGTTCGCGTTAACATCTATTGTCCAAGCACATAACTGATTTGTTTACGTAAGAGAAACAAACTTACAATAGGCCTATCACACACAAGTGGTCTTGTACAAGTTACAATAC